TTTTCTGTAACTTTCCCTATCTCCCTTGCATTTTGTTTCCCTTCTCTTCTCTGCTATTTGTAAGGCCTCGTTGGACAGCCACTTTGCTTTCTTGCATTTCCTTTGCTTTGGGATGGTTATTGTTGCTGCCTTCTGTACAATGTTACGAGCCTCTATCCAAAGTTCTTCAGGTACTCTGTCCACCAGATTGAGTTCCTTAAATCTGTTCTTCACTTCCACTGTGTATTCATAAGGGATTTGGTTTAGATTATACATACCTGACTAGCCCAGTGGTTTTTCCTACTCTCTTCAGTTTAAGCTTTAATTTTGTTATGAGAAGCTGATGATCAGAGCCACAATCAGCTCCAGGTCTTGCTTTTGCTGACTGTAGAGAGCTTTTCCATATTTGGCTGCAGAGAATACAGTGGTGTCCCACATAACGACGATAATCCGTTCCGAAAAAAATCGTCGCTATACGGATTCGTCGCTATGCGGGGCAAAAAAGCCCATAGGAACACATTAAAACACGCTTAATGCGTTCCTATGGGCAAAAAACTCACCGTTCTGCAAAAATCCTCAATGCGGCCGCCATTTTCGCTGCCCGGTAAGCGAGGAAAGGGTGCGAAAACACTGCGGGCGGCCATTTTCTTTACCCGGTGGCCATTTTGGAACCGCCGATCAGCTGTTTAAAAAAACATAGTTATGCGATAATCAGTAAGCGAAATGCTTACCGATCACCGCAAAGCGATGTTTTCCCATTTAAAACATCGTTATGCGATCGCTTTTGCAATTGCAAAAAAAATATCGCTATGCGGATTAGTTGTTAAACGAATCGCTCATTATGTGGGGCACCACTGTATAATCAATCTGATTTCGATATTGCCCATCTGGTGATTTCCATGTATAGTTGCCTCTTGTGTTGTTGGAAAAGAGTGTTTGTGATGACCAGCTTGTTCTCTTGACAAAACTCTATTAGCCTTTGCTCTGCTTCATTTTGAACTCCAAGGCCAAACTTACCTATTGTTCCTTTTGTCTCTTGACTCCCTACTTTAGCATTCCAATCCCCTATAATTGAGAAGAACATTTTTCTTTGGTGTCAGTTCTAGGAGGTGTTGTAAGTCTTCATAGAATTGGTCAATTTCAGTCTCCTCAGCATTGGTGGTTGGTGCATAAACTTGGATTATTGTGATGTTGAAAAGTCTGTCTTGGATTCATATTGAACTCATTCTATAATTTTTGAGATTATATCCCATTAAAACTTTTCCCACTCTTTTGTTGACTATGAGGGCTACTCCATTCCTTCTGCAGGCTTCTTGCCCACAATAGTAGATATAATAGTCATCTGAATTGAATCCGCCCAATTCCTGTCCATTTTAGTTCACTGACGCCCAGGATAGAATAAATTGGTCCATACACTACCTTCAGTTATTTGACATAATTCGTCCTTCCTCCTCTTTACATACCTGACTCCAGTCAGACTGCTCTTAAAGGAGTCGCATATTTTAGGGCAGGGATGTTCTGTGCCTCCTTTCTTCCCGATGGGCACCACGGGCACCACGTAACCTCCTGAGATGCTCTTTGTTTGCCAAGCCAGCTGTCCTGCCTTCCTACAGCCTGCTTGGCTGGGCTTTTCTCCATCTCTTGCCCCCACTCCACTTCCCATTATTACTTGGGTGACTATGATGTCATCTCCCCTCCACTCACAGCCACCCTTAAAGGAGAAGTCACATAGCGCTGCTGGCTGCTCTTGGACTGCAGCAGAAGACCCCTAATGCCTTCCCTGGTTGAACCCATGGCCAGCAGGATTGTGGGAATGCAACACAACAGGAGAAGAAAAGGCACTGGTGTCTGGGCTGGGCTGGTGGTGGCAGTGAGCAAAAAAAATTTCTTGCAATCTGGCATAGCGCTAGCACAGAATGACAGATAGGGGAAGGGAAAAAACACAGGTTTCCCTGCAGCCCAGCACACACCTAGATAGACCGGCCGACACCCCCCCCAACACACACACACACGGAGTGGAGAAGAAAGGGGGCAGGAAAGACGGCAGTGAGTGGCAAACGCTACAGAGACAATTTACACTGACATAAGCATCTGCCAAAATGTCTGAAAACAAATCTATTGAAAATAAACGTTATCTATCATTCCTCCTCTTTCCTGCTTAATTTGCCTGCCCTTTCGTTTGGCAAGATTTAGATAATTAGTCCTTCCCTTCTTCCCCTTGTTTTACTTTTCTGTGTAAAAAAGGGGAATCCTTTTTAGCATTAAGAGAACCTGCCCCCTCTCCATAGATGTACCTGCCTTGAATCATGCCTGCCTTCTTCACCAGTATGTATTATTGCTGCAGTTTTTGACTGTGAGAGATTATTACTATTGCTGCTTTTTTTACAAATGGACAGTGAGTTGCTATTTCTAAGCTAGGCATATGCAGTTGGGTGGGTTGGTATATATTTGGAAACTTGCTGCTTATTAAATGTTTTCACCACTTTTTATTCCTGACTAGTTTTTGGTGATAAAACCTAAATGATGGCAGGAGCAGGTGACTTATAGGCATATCTAACTCGGGGAGGATATCCTTAAAAGCTTATCTAAAATGTATGGTCTTTCAACATCCTGTTGAAAGTTGGGAGGGAGGGGAGGGCCCTACTGAACCCCGAAGAGGAGCCCATTCCACAAACGAGAAGGTTTTTTTCCCCCTAGAGGTCTTCTTTGCCTTTCCCAGCATGACAAACCCATAAGAGCAAAGCTTGTGAGGATTGTTCGGCATAAACTGAGGTTTCTGAAGGAAATCTGCTGTGACAAGTAGCTGGGTACCAACTCACTTACATCTCAGAGGACCTCTCATGAAATATAAATGCCAGCATGCTAGTGAAGAAGGCACAGAAGAGGCTGTATTTCCTGAGAATGCTCAGGAAGTTAAATCTATCTCAGCATTTACTTCTGTCCTACTATCGTAGCACCATTGAGAGTGTCCTAACCTATGGCATTCTGGCATGGTTTGGGAGTAGCTCTGTAGCGGACAAAAAAGCTCTACAGAGAACCATTAAAACTGCCCAGAATATCATCGGGCTCCAGCTATCAACCCTGGATGACATCTTCACATCCCGCTGTCTGAGGAAGTCACCCAACATCCTGAGAGACTTTTCCCATCCTGCTTATAACTTTTTTGAATGGTTGCCGTCTGGCTGAAGATATAAAACAATTAACACTGGGACTACATGTTTTCTGAATAGTTTTTATGCCAGAGGGATCCCCTTGACATTTTAGTCCAGTTGTGTCTGACTCTAGGGAGCGGTGTTCATCCTGTTCTCAAGCCGTAGAGCCAGCGCTTGTCCGAAGACAGTTTCCGTTGCCACGTGGCCAGCATGACTAGGGCACGCCATTTTACCTTCCCATCGAGGTGGTACCTATTTATCTACTCGCATTTGCATGCTTTCAAACTGCTAGGTTGGCGAGGAGCTGGGACAAGCGATGGGAGCTCACTCCGTCACGTGGATTCGATCTTACGACTGCTGGTCTTCTGACCCTGCAACACAGGCTTCTGCGGTTTAGCCCACAGCGCCACCACGCCAGAGCTATCATTGCACTTAATAATGAGCTTAAAGACCACCACTAGTAAATAGCTGGACAGTGTTACTTAGCCTGTAGTGTAGATGTTTGTATTCTTAATGGGGGATTTTTAGTGGGTAGGGAGTGTTTGGGGATTTTTTATGTGTGTGCATGTGGGTCTGGTCTTTGGATGTCTGTGTGAATTTCGTTGTATGAGTATATAATGTGTACTTACAATGACAATATATTTATTTATTTGTTTATTATTATTAATAATTTACAACTAATTTAAAACATACTAAGTAAGAAAATACACACACATAAATGACTTAATGCTACTCAATGCTTTTCATTTTATGGATGCTGTGTCCTCTTTCACCTTCATTAAGAGGTTCTTTAATTCCTCCTCACTTTCTGCCATCAGAGTGGTATCAGCTGTATATCAGAGGTTGTTGATATTTCATCTGGCAATCTTAATTCCGTTTTGGGATTCCTCCAGTCCGGCCTTTTGTATGATGTATTCTGCATATACGAAAATAGAAAACAAATGAAATAGAACAAAGATAATACACAATATACAATGCTGTACCTTGAAAATTTCAATAATCAACAAAAATGACCCAGAATATTAGTGACATAGCAGAGAACTATAGCCGCATAGAATCTGGCCATGTTATCTGTAACCTGGGTGGTGGTTACATTCGGAAGGGAGAGGTAACATTATTTCCATTTTTAAAGAATGGGTATGATAAAGGCCTGGTGAATACAGTGATAGAAAGGGCGGCAGAACGGAACATGCCAGGGAGTTTCCATTGCTGTGTGCATGCTCTTTTGAACTCTTTAAATACACGCATTAAAGAGCTGGACCACTGTTGTTTATTGGCCCTGGCTGACTGTTTCATCAGGCTCCAGCCATGTGAAGTTGCAGAATACATGTAGTGTACATGCGCCCGGGTAGGTGGGGCTCGTCAGCCTTGGAAGGCAGCCCATCTAGGAGAAGAAAAACTCCAATTTCAAACCTCCACTGCCTTGTGGCTATATCCACTCATGGAAAAGGCTTCAGGAGTTAACCTCGAGGCAAAATCCGGAGCTGGAGTCCCGAAGGCAGCATGTGTCGTTCTGCCAACTCCTGCGACATTGTTGGAACCAGTTGTATTGGCTCTTGCCTTTCCATTGGGCCATTTCAGCAATGTGGAGAGGGGGGATCTGCTGCTTGGGTAACAGCCTATCCTCCATATTACCTTACCCGGGCTTCATGCTCTGGAGAGGACACTCCTCGATTCAGAGCATGTTACCATAGTCTCTCGAGAGTGAAGGATGCCTATGTACATGCATTTCCTCTAGCTCTGCCATTGATACTGGGGACACACCACACTGGCAGCTCTTTGGAGGCTGCCCTCTTTCCTGCTTCCCTGCAGATAAAAACTTTTAAACGTATCATATGACCCAAACTTGGAAACATGTACCTTGTGATCCTAAGGCATATCCTAAGTTAGAATTTGGCAGAAGCAGGCAAGAGGATAACTTCCCCTGGCTGCCATCACACTGTTGCCCTCAGCACAGTCATAGCAGCCATCATACCTCTCGGGGACATGATCCGCTCTGTATACTGGATTTCAACACGGGCACTCCCAGGGAGCACCACCAAGCCAAGCCAGGCCGAGTGGAGACCCACCAAGCCAGAGCAGGACAGGCAAATTCAGCCTACAGGGCTCGCTCCGTCCTCGACTGACTGGCTGGTTGGCCGTGTGGTGTTTTTAACATATGTGGTCCGTGTCTCATGTCCCTCCACGGCTCAGCCCGAGGCTCGCCATTTCTATTTCCTCTCCCTTTTTTAATATTATTTGAGAGGGGGAGGGTCGTCACCTGGCCCAAACTTTTCGCCTGCCTCTCCCCCCACCCCAGTCCCACAGGGCGCGAGGGGGCTCCTGAGGCGGCAGGATCTGCACAGGCTCCGAGGCTCGAGGCCCTCCCCACCGGGTGGCCCAGGCTGCGTCACCGCCTCCGCCTCCTCCCCAGCCGGGAGGCCAGCC